CCTGAGTTCAAAGCCTAAGTTCCTCATCTGTGGCAAGCTCATAAGCAAAGGGACTTCTCCTTCTTCCACTATGTCGAACTCTGTTTGGTGGATCGTCCATGCACGATCATACATGTAAATCACCAGTTTCTGAGAGCAAGTAGCCTTCTGGGAATTGGCAAAGTAAAACTTGCTCTTGGTAGACTCAAAAGAGTACCATAATCCACAATCTGGGTGATTGTCGACATAGTTGCAAAAATGGTCGACTGCTCGCCTTGATCCCATAGCTCTAGTGCATCCAATGTCCAGGATTGCAATAGTTGGCGGGAAGCGATTCTCAGTCAAAAATGAAATGGCCTGCATCTCCTTCACTTCTTCCTCAGCGCTCATAAGCGCAAAACCATCAGCGCTCATAAGCGCAAAGCCATCAGCGCTCATAAGCGCAAGGCCATCAGGAGCCCTTGTGAGCATCTCCTTTGACAAAGAGTACCTCACAGGGGCACTCATGTCATCGAAGATCATCTCACCATTGTTGACCACGCAGTCAGCTTCATCTTGGCATGAGGTCATCATGCCTGACAGCAAGTCCACCTCACTGTCATGGACTTCAGCTGCTGCTGTCACACAATGTGCTAAGAAAACTTGTTGACCTCCTGATGCTTGTGAAGATCTTGAAGGTGCAGGTAAAGAACGTGGCTGTTGTTGATTTGCATAGTTTGCATCTTGTTTGCCATCTCCTTTATCTTTTCCTTTTCCTTTCTTGCCTTTTCTCTTGCCTTTTCCTTTTCCTTTGTGGGAAAACCATGCTTCTTCAAGCTGTTGCCAAAAGTCATTGGCATCATCATATTCTCCTTGAAGATAGTCATTCATATCCTCGGCAAGAATGGCATCATATGCTCCTTGGGTTGACTCCCAAGTATCCTCATAAGGATTCTCTTCAAAGTACTCTTCTGGATATGTTGTCTGTTGCTCATCAGCAAAATGGCCTTTACCTCGTCTCTTTCCTTTTCCTTTTCCACGAGGTCTGAAGAATCTGCGGCCTGATCTTCCTTTTCCTTTTCCTTTTCTTCTTCCTTTTCCTTTGCCTTTTCTGGCTCTTCTTCCTTGGAATCTCCTTTGGAACCATGAGAAGGTTTGATCATCATATACCCAAAAGACATCGTCCAGGGCATCTAAAAATCCTTCAGTTCCATCTTCTTCATCTTCGGCCCAATAGCCAAATGTACCATCGAGTTCTCCTTCGTCTAGTACGAGGAATGATCTTCTACCTCCAGCACCTGTCGGCTGCATCAATGGATTGTCTACTGAAGTCTTTGTCGTGCAGAACATCTCGATGAACACTGTCCTCAACTCTGTTGTGGTGTATTGCTGCAGGTACCTGCCACGATGAGTCATCAACGAAGTCAAAGTGTTTCGCTGGTCCTGAGACAAATCTGCAAGGGACAGCATGAGTAAGGCAATGAGATTCTCTCCTAAGGGAAAATCATTCTGATGAAGAATTCTCATATTGCCATTGACATTCTGCATGATTTCCTGAATCCTTTCTGCCGTTGGTGCTACTCCAGTCAACGCTGCATCTGCCTGCATCTGAGCAAGGACTTGGGGATGTGCTTGAGTGACTGGTTCTAACATGTCCATCCAACTGCTCATAAGCCTTTGGAGTAAAATCTGGAATCTTGTCATCCATTTCATCATGTCGGCTGATCCTCGATTGAATCGCACGAATTGCATAAACCTGTATAGGAATACATTGGTTGATCCTTTCACGAAATATGGTCGTAGTACTCGTTTGAAGTAATCTACTCCTGCTCCTGGTGGCTCATTAGCCTTCAATGAATCTCTGTCTAATACACGTTTGTATACTGCTGCTTCTCCTTCTAATCTGTTTCTCAAAGCTGGTCCTCTCTTCTCATCTTCCAGCTCGGTGATATCACACCAATCGTCTATGGCATCCTCATAGGAAAACCATGAAGTCTTTCCATCATAAGATGGGGGCACCTTTGTAGTGACCTGTGTTGTCATAGCTATTGCTGCTGGTTCTCTTCTCACATGCCTATTCACGTAGGCTGCTGGCTCATAAGCCACATCCGCATCAGGCTCTTCCCAGTCGTCAATCCAATCCATGGCCGTTTGCCCACAAGCAATTCTATGCCTAGGAAAGGAGCTCACCTGGGTCTTCCAGGATCACTGCTCCGCTACCACTGAAAGAGTGACTAGGGCGTACACGGTAGAGGTGCAGACCGCTAGTGTCTTTTGCTCACGCAGAGTCTTATCCTATATCCCTTTAGGTCCATTGACCCTCTCTTGAGCCTTGAAGCAGTCAAGCATGGACACACTATATCAGCTGTTGGAGTGGAACCCTGTACAGGTAGGCTCTACTTTTCAGGGGGGGGGCGTCAGGCTGTCGAAAAATCCGCGCGGAGAGACAAACCGTAGGTTGAAGCCAACACAAGCAATACTAACCAAAACAATCCACAAAACACGCCGGCAGGCCGGCGGATTAATCTTTACTATATTGTTCGTAAAACATGGATTGCTTGCCATGCGCCACAAGCTGAACTGCAGCAGTCTTTGACAAAGATCATGGCTCATGGGAGGTTCTTTGTTGTGTGGTTGCCGGAAAAATGAGTCTTTTCACCAAGGAGCCTAGGTAGATGCCCTCAAACGTATATGGTATAAAACCAGTCAAATAACGGTTGACGTAATTTGGTCGTCTAAAAACCTTTAGTAAAGCAATGATTGTTCGGGAATCGGGAAACAATATCAAAGCAATGGTGGGCCAGGAAATTTGGGGTTTATGTTACCCTTGTGCTTGGGTTTCCACTTTCAATTTTCGGGCCATGCGGCCAGTTTTTTGTTCTGCATGCACCTATGGACGGTTTGGAAGACGAAATGACGGCAAAGGGCCATTGGAGTCAGCGTGGATCTCAAAGACAGCCATGATCATGTTGTTCTTGGTCCATGAAGAAATGATTTTGTCGGTCATATTCCGTGGTTTGGTGGGGTAAGGAGAACAACTTTGCTTATCAGAACACTGTATCTCAGAAACTCATATCCAACACCCCGCCGCGACCTTTGCGGCCAGGGCACATTGGCTCTTGAGCGGCAAGAACGCAGCTAATTCCCCTTCGAGAAAGTGATGCAGAATATCACTGGGACTTCCAGCTGCTTTGGAGGGGCGAATTCACTGCTTAGGTGTGTGGGCGGAGAATAGTTGCTATGTCGCAAATTTGGAAAAATGTTTCTCTCTCAAGTGATTTTTCATACATGTTAAAACAACATTTTTCTTGAAGATTGCCTCGAGTGGAGGGTAGATGGAAGTTCCAAAGTGATGCACAGTGGCGCGCAGTGATGGACCTCAGGTTGTGAATCGTTTTCCGATTGTTGGATTCTACCAACGGCTCTCAAAACATCTCCAAACCCTCATGGTTCTCCACCCACCGGACATCGACGTGAGTTCCTTTTTGTCCGACTATGAGTATACAAACGTCCGGAATCAACTAAACAGCAATCAGGACATCACCTGCATTTCTTTTTGTTTCTTTTCGATCCGAAAGCACCTAGGGAACGACGCCCCGTCCTGGACCGCCCGGCGCAGCTGCGGCCCTGTGACCCCCCCGGACCTCGCCGAACCAGCCAAACCGCGGCGATGCAACCTGCTTGGAGAAAAAACTGCTTGGAGATGTGCCATTTTTTCTATCCAACCATGCAAAAAGAGACTCCACAATTGGACATGCTGGGCCCCAAAGGTTTGAACCAGAGCCGATAGAGCATTGCTCAGTATGAGATTATCAAGCATCTTGGGGGTTCGACCGACATTGCACCTGGAAGACAATGCACACTTGCGAATCCTTTATGGAAGGTCTCTTTGAAGCTTGTAGATCTGCCGATCCTCCCCCGTCACAACCCGGTCGCCGGAGAACCAGCGCCCGCGAGTGCTGCGGAGTCCTGCCGAATTCAACGCGTAGCTTGGTCTGGCTGTCGTTCTCTACACTGTCAGCTTTAATGCGCCGAGCTCCGAGGATGCCGTCCTCCGGATGCCCGTCCTCGGACGCCGGGCCTTGCCCCGGGCTAACCAGGCGCCGAAATCCATTCGTAGAGGGCGCAGTCGATCATGGAGTCCTCCCGCAGACCCAGCAGGTCACGTCAAATCGTGGGCACTGTGGAAGAGGACAGGTGGGGCGCCTGGTGTCAAGAATAGCCTTCCATATCCTTAGAGGAGACGTTGTTTCGTGGAAGCTGCGCAGATCACACTACTGCATATCATGCGTACTGTACTCCTTCAGTGAGACTCACTCCAACCCCACTCGGCCATGCCTTTTGCAGCCGAATGGCCTGCCGGAACGGCGGCCCGGTCACGTGGACGGCGGCGATGCGTCTTGCGCGAGCCTTTGTCAAGAAGGGGCAGCAGTGCTCATGCTCTGGGGAAGTGTTTGCCAATACCCTGCCAATGCATGCATGGCATGTTTACCTACATTGGGGTGGTTTCATTTGTTTCCGTACACGGGGTGTCGGGGATGGAGGATTGAAGCCAGACACCATGTTCAATCGCAGGTTTGCCCATCCACAGGTCTTCCCGAACACACACACACACACACGACACAAGCATGTACTGAGAAGCACCTTTCAAGTGTTGATTGCAAGCCATCACCCCACCTGAAACGGCACATGTGCTTGGTGTTGAGCATGCATCAAAGGCAGTTTTCGGTCGTACCGTTGAGGCCTTCTGGTGATGGTAGATTTTGGTGCATGTTTTGAGAGAATGTTGGACCCATGCTTCTGTGTGCCTCACATGAAGCAACGTGTTGAAAAGGAATCTGTCTGCCTCACATGCCGTGGTGGAATTTTCTGAACTGACAGCTCAAGGGCCACGAATACATGAGATCAGACAGCAGCTTCTGGGCAACAAGTCTCGACAGACAGACATTGACGCGCCGCAACCTAAAGGAACTCGTTTGGGCGTTTGGAAGGCTTCGCTTTCCGTGTGCAGCCCACCTACACTTGGAACCACCCGTGCGAAGATTCTTGTGTCTCCTTGACTTCACTCAACAGTTCACCTCTCAAGAAAGCCTTCAAAGGGCTTTTGGAGCCACAGCCCCACCTCCCGGGCGCTCCGTTTCATCCGTCCCCGCCGCGCGGCCCGTTTGGCCGCCTCGGACCCCTGCCATGAACGCCACACCTGGACCGCCGGTGGCGCCGGGCACGGTGGAGATCGCCGGCGGGCCGAAGATGAGTCGCAGCGAAGCGCGGCGCTTGAGGGAAGAGGACCCTGTGGGGGGAGAGAGGAGGTGCAGAGGCAGGAGAGGAGGGTGGGGGGAGTGGATGGACAGAGGATGATTCCGAGGTTTGGCTTTGGGAGTTTGGGTCTGTCTTCTTTCTTTTCTTTTTTGTGTGTGTTTGGATGGAAATGAAAGAAACGGGTGTGTGTCAGGGGAGGGGAGGTTTGGTTTGATCCCAGTCAGCATGCGACATTCACAAGTGATGATCCTTGTATTCTTTCCAGTGGCTGTTGAACATCGCAACTATTTACAAGTGAATGAGACTGGTCCATGATGTTGTCATCATGGTTCTTGCGTAGGTTTGGAGTGGGTGATCAACAAAAAGACATGGCGTTCAACATGGCTGTGTTGGGTTTCTGATGAGTTTGTTAAGGATTACATGCTTTTTGGCATCATTTCAGAGTTTTGCGTTTGATGCACAGTTGGAACTTGAGTGCAGATGCGTGACCATTTGCAGACAGCTGGTAACCTTTTACCTTTTAGATCCTTTTAGCCTTTTAGCCAGAACTTTCAATGCCCAGCAGGAGGCACCGCCAGCTAACGGCTGCATCAGTTTTGATTGACTCAAGTCCCTCCCCAAGGATGAATATGGTGTAGATTCTTCATTGTCTTATGGGTTTTATCATCACAACCGCTCGAAATGGACCGCACCGCTGAAAAAAACCCTCTTACCCTGCGTGTTAAACCCAGCCCCTCGCAGGAGGAAGCGGCCCGGGCGCGCTCCAACGCTGAAGCTTGGAGGCGTCCTGATCAACGCGGGTCGCGGTTGGGATCAGGTGACAAATCCAACGATCTCTCAGCTCCTCGGGCGCACCCGGCGCCAAGAAACGCACCGATCAGCCGGCTTTGGCTCGGCTGAAGCTTTCTTGGACCAATTGCCAGTGCATTTTGGTGGAAACCACGGGGCTGGGAGGCCCAACTCAGATGTTCCCCGACCCAGTGGACTTGAAGAAGCCCCGGAAACCGCTCTTGCCAGGCTCGGCGGCAAGGCCAAGGTCAACGAGGAAGGGCCTCAGGCGCCCGCGGTCGGACGGGGCTCGGACGCCGACCGGTCGGCCGCCGGGCGGGGCGGGGCGTGGACGCCAGGTGGACTGGAAGGCGTGGCACGTCAGGTGACGCGACCGTTGCGGAGCAACGTTTCATGGGGTGCTTCGGACATCTCCAGCACATATCAAGCAGTCGAAGACGAACTGGGGCATGTTTCGTGTTGTGTCGCCGCAGGAGTAGCAATGTGTTCTGACGCCTGAACATGTTCCAAGGCAGCCCTGTGTGGCTCTCCTTGAGCAACTTGTGCTCATTCATTTTCCCCACAACTTGGGAGATGACCTACAGAGATTAAGTGACCTTATAAATCCTTATAGGACCCTACAGGGGTACCTATTAGGATACTCTAGTTCGGGTTCTTCAACCTCTGCTGGGAGTGCAAACCTCAAGCGGGTTTCCACCACCGAGCGCGAGGCTCTTCCGAATCGGGCACAGCACTCAATGACCAGAACCCCTTTGCCAAAAAAGGGGGAGATCCGTGAGATCTGCCTGTGCAGTCGTTGAAGCAGCATATATATAAAAAATATATATAAATATATGTATTATAGACTCTCTTATAGGCACCCCCTGTTACGGTGATTCATATATGGTTCTTATGGTTCCATACGACTTTTATATGGTTCCATCTATCACCCATTATATCACTCTCTTATAGGACCATTCATGGGTCCGTCTTTCTCCGGTCACTTCACCGACAGTGAACGGCCTAGCGACGCGCCCAGGAGGAGGATCCGAAGAAGGCGGCCGAGCGGGAGCGCTCACGTAGCCGGGAGAAGAAGGCGAGCCGACTGGGGAGTTGGGGGATAGGGAAGGGCGGAAGGGCTGAGTGGTTGGAGGCAGAAGCGTGTTCTTTTTTCTCTCTTCGAATATATGTAGGCTGAGTGGTTGGAAGATGTTTGAAGCTTGGAGGGAGCATTCCTGTTTGTCCTCATCAGATTCAGAAAGCAAAGACAGCGTTTCAGGGAAGATTCTTAAATTTTTCATTCACTTGTAAACCTGGAGGAGACCTAAAATAGGCCAACAAACAGTCCCAGGTGATGAACACTTTGCAGCAGTGATCCTTTCGTTCGTCGAAAGGTGGGACCCATTTTGAAGAGTTGACTCGTCGAGTCAGTTCGACGCACAAGAAATGACACAGATCTATAATTACAATATCAACTGTTGTTGTGCATGTATGGTACATGTTTGCTTTGCATATGTGTAATCAACACGTATGTTAACTTCATCATTCGAACGGCCATTTTTGAGACGTGAAAACGAAGTACAAAGCGTCAAAGTGTCAAAGCCACCATCGTTTTGGGACCTACCACTTCCGACCCTGTCGAACCTATCGAACTGAAGGACACCCTGCGGATGTCGATCCGCCGCCCCCCGGGGGCCGTGAAGAGTCTTTCCATTCGACGACCGGCCTCTGCGGCCGGGTCTCCAGGAGACCTTGGACCGCTTAGCCAAGAGCGCGGCTGAAAAGGCGGTCGGGGCCAGGGGGAAGCCATGGGACTCCTGAAATGGCTTCAAGCCATGCTTGAGCAGTGATCCAAACGCAGGTGGAAAAGGATGAAGGCCGGCTTGAGTTGATCTATAAGGTGATGTTTGTGATTGGTCCGAACTGGGTGAATCCTCCTTTTCCTGGGAAACCCCGCGCCGGGAAGCCTCCCAGTGATTCGCTCGGACTCAGGACTTGGACATTTGGAACGTCGATGGATCCGACATCCACCAGCATAGACCTAATGTAGACTCTTGATCAATAAACACCTCATATAGAAGAGGCTTTTCAATCTAAATGGGGGGTCCATGGTTTCAGCTTTAAATGTAGACTCTTGAGGACCATAACTCCTCCCATTTAGATTGAAAAGCATCTTCATATGAGGTGTTTATTAATCAATCATCTATATACATTATTTGGGGGTTCTTGGGGGGATCGCCACGTCGACCCAGAGACGGGCTTTTGGAGCGATTTTGGGAGGATCAGTTCCAATATCCAATACCCAGGCCCAAAACCCACTGAACTGAACCTATTATTGCATATGATTGCCATGAGCTGGATGGATGGCCAAAGCGACTTACTCACAGAGATGCACCTTGGAGCCACGCCCACCATCCAGAGAAACAACAAGAACATTGCAACGCTCAGCACTCAGCACTCACTTCAGGCGACAGGCGTGCCGTCCAGCGTCCGGCTTGCGAACTAACACATCACCGCACAGGGTGGGCCAACAGGTGTTCACCCAAACACAGGACGCTGGAAGGATTCCTTCTCCAATATCCTTTGGCTGCAAACGCTTCTGCAATCAGATAACTTTAGCCGGACAGAGGGGCGTTCTCGGAGGATGATCTTCATTTGCGGTTCGCGGTTCGCCCCCTTGGTGCTTTCAGCCAAAGTACCATCCAGAGAGATTAGTCGCATGAGCGGTTGGCGATGAGGCCAGATTGGTCACCCAAAATCAAAGATCCATGGTGACAGAGATATCCAGAGTACTGCAGAATACCGCAGAACACGGCAGACCTCTACTTCCTGCGTCCGGGGGATGCCCATGCGTCCTAGGCTGCCAAGGCGGCTGCTGCGGACGCGGAGTCCGCTGCGTCGCCCGAGGAGGCGGCTTCCGCGCCGCAGGCGCCGAAGCTAAGCAAGCTGGGGAGCCTGGTTGGGCGCGAGAGCCGCGCGGAGGGGGTGGGGGGAAGTTAGAGGAAGTGGAGGATGGTCTTGACTTTTCTGTCGGGATGTGGTAGCATTTTGGAGCAGTTTAGCAGAAATTCGTCGCAGTGCAGTTGCATGTGGACAATGAAGGGGGTCGAAACATAGATATCCACAAGCACAGTTTGTTGAAGCTAATGTGCACTGTGCGCTGGACTTGAACCTGAATTAGCTGCATATGATTCACAAACCATTCACAGTGGTTTCAGAGGTTCGATAGCACAGACAAGAGAGATGTCCTTGGCCATTGGAGGCCCATATAAATCACCCAACTTGTGCAACCAGTGCTGTTGGCCATCTACTCTAACACCAGATCCGTTCCTGATTCGGCAGACCAGATCCGTTTCACAGATCAAACATCTGGAGCCCACCTTCTCGATCGAAAGGGATTTGGCCGGCGGCGCCTAGCGCCGAAGTGTTCGAGGCCTTTCAGTGTTCCGCACTCTTCGGAAGAGTCGGTGCTAAAGATCGCCAAAGCACCCAAAGGGACTTCGAACAATTTCGAGGGTTAGAAAACCCATGACGCATAAAACCCCCATCCATCCCCCAAGGAGAAAGGAGAATCTCCCAACCTGAACTCTATCGCTCAGAAGTCTCAGATCTATCGTTCCTATTCTGACATCCAAACCGTTTTGTTAGAAAGTACTCCAAGGGTACGGCTACTCGGCTACTCCTTCCTTTGGAAGAAGG